AAATAAATAAATCTTTAAAAAAAAATAATATAGATCTAAGTCTAGCAGTACAGACAAAATAGGTAATCAAACACTTGTGTAATTAATCATCAAAAGCACAGGAATACTACTATATAAGCAGCCAATATATGAGTTCAGAGAAACAATTAAGATTGGAAGAGAGACAAGAGAAAATAAGAAAAATAAATTCAGAAATAAAACTTAAAATTTAAAAGAGAGAATACCAATCTTTGAAAATTTTAAATATAGAACTCAATCTAATAATTTTTCAGAAACGTAAAACAGTAAGACATAAAAACAAAAATATTTAAGACAAGAGACTATTCTATTCCCCCTAATATAGTTGGTCACTTGGAAAACCAAGAAAGTACCAGTTATAAATAAAATTGGTCCAAGAAATTATTCAAGACCTACACTTGCTCTTCTACCTCCCTCCTGGTCTCATTCCCAGTGATCATTTCTGCTCATTTCTTCTTCAAATCATCCTTGCTCAAACATGTACTCTGGTGAACGGTATACATGGAAGCCTATATTTAAGTCCTGGATTTACCACTTACTAGCTATTCAACAGTAGCTAAGTTCTCTTATTGTGCTTAATTTTTTTTGTAAAATGAAAATATTGGGACTCTCCCTGTTAAAGTACAGCACTGTGATGTTCTCTACAGACAGTGCAACATGAGTTCAATGCCTGGCCAGGGAATGACCCCCATTGCACAGCACACATCTCCTGTCTCATCCAATGCTCCCCTCAGCAGTGTAGTTTAGTAGCTCCGCCTGCTCTGCTCCCCACTCTGTCTCTGGTGAATCCTCTCACCCACTGCACCTCTGACCTACACCCAAGCTCTTGCATAACTAAATCTTTATTTTTTTTTTAATGCAGATACTGATGTTTCATGAAGTATGAGAGTTATTTGAGGAAAATGTATGTAGAAAAGAATAATGTGGTGTCTGGATCTTCAGTTCTAACTTACTAACGTTATTAAAATTGATGATGACATTATTAGATCATCACCATGGTTTTCGATTTTGATACCAGAAGAAAAAAAAAAATCGCTAAACTAGTATTTCAGCATTTATTTCTTCTAATACTATATAGCTGGTATTAACACTTGCATTTTTGCTTCAGTGAAACTAGATTTCACTTTTCTAATAAAAAATGATTTCATTTGATGTTTGCGTAAGCTTATTCAAGCTAATATTATTCTAATATGCCCTTTGTATGAGTACAAAGGATGTACACATATGGAAGAGTAAAAACGTGACCCAAAGTTTTACAGGCATGTAAACAATTAATAAAAAAACACAAAATATTTTAAATGGATGGAATATTATTAAAATAAAGAATAATATATTAGCATAAACACCCCAAATAGTAGTTAATCTTCTATAAATTTTCTCTTAAGAAATGATAACAACACTGGGTTGGAAGTGAATCTTTCTAATACATTTCTTCTTCTTCTTCTTCTTTTTAAATATTTATTTATCTTTGTGTACAAGAACTGGGGTACAGGCCAAAAGTGTGGGGGTGAGTGGATTTACCAGCAACAGAGCAGGGAGCAGAACAGGCAGATCTACTGAAATAGCTGCTGAGGGGAACAGTGGGCAGGTCAGGAGAGGTCTGTTGTGCCATGTGGGTCACCTCCCT